TAGGCTGAAATGGAAACCCACAGAGGTAATGATTATTCGTAGCCCCCCTGAAGGACTTGTCTACATATTTTTGCAAAAATTCTCCTGCTTCTTTTGATGCAGCTCCACAAAGTGGAGAACTTTTGTGTGTCCCCAGTTCACAGATGACGTCATCGAATAGACTACTATAGTTACTCTGTCCAGGTGTGCAGCCAGTAGGTGAAAATGATGCAGGGGAGGCATCACAGCAGAGTCCCTCCAGCACAGGCCTTTGACAAGAGTAGCTTCATGCATCTCTCTAGTGGACCGCCCCTACCTTGCGGACCTCGTGGAGAATTTAAAGATCTCTGCCTCTCCCCATGAAATGAAAATGTGCCTGGCAAATCACATGAAAGCATACAGGCGAAAGGAGGAAAGGAAAGGGGTGAGATGGGTATTTTTATCTCATTTAAGAAGTAGCCCATGGCAGCTCAGTGTCCAAGAGGGTTCCCTAATAATAGGAACAGGGACCATCTCTGACATGAACTCTTGGGCTGGTTCTTTGATCACCTCCACCTGATGGGGGAGCAGCCTTACCAGTCCACAGAGGAAGACAAAGAAGCCTGTCCTGATGAGATCTGATAGACTAGGGTGAGATGGAAGGGGAGGAGGACCTCCCCTAGCATTGGACTGGGGGAGGGGTATAGGAGAAGAGGGAGGGAAGGTGGGATTGAGGTGATGTGGAAGAGGGCTACAGCTGGGATACAAAGTGAATCAACTGAAATTAATTTTAAAAAAGAATATTTGGACTCCAAATAAAAACCCAAGACAAGATATTATAATTATATCTCACTGTTTTTCAACCCATGGTAAAAAAAAAAAAAAAATGGTAGGGGACTGTTCAATCCATTATTAGAGCCTGATTTAACCATGATGCCAACTGCTGTTTTTTTTTGGGGGGAGGGGGAGTGGAGTGCTTTGTTTTAATGAGTGGAATCAGATGACATCAAAGTGTCTATGAATCTCCTGTACACATAAACAAGTAGTTTTAAGTTCAGTATAATCAATAAACTACTTAGAGGCATCTTGTCCTATTCCATACATATGTATATATGTGTGTAGAATCACACTGCACCAGAAGTGAGCTATGAATGCATCCGAAATGAGTGTCATGCTGCCAAGGCAGGAGTGTGACTCTTAGGCATACCCAGGGCTTACTCAGAGCCTGTTTATACAAACCTTTGAAAAACTACAATCTCTGTTTTCCTAGTCCACCACATGCTAGAGATAGACTAGAAGTAAAGAGAGGGGCTACAAGAAGGAAGCAGGACATTAATTTCTTGCCTAAATGATGCTTGATATCTCAGAAGCGAAGGGGAAAAGAAAAAGGCAGAAGACACGACAAGAAAAGGCCTGGCATTATGAATTGATAGTTATTGGTGGTTGCTCTTCTTGTCACTAGTCCAGCTGTCCTGTAACTGCTGAAGACATCATAACCCACCACAGACCTGGATCAGACATCTCTCGTGGCATCTCAAAATTGGATATCAGCCTGTCTGTCCTCTCAACATGCCAAGGGGCTGTGCACTCTGCCTGACCAATGTGGAGCCCACCATGAGCAACCCATTTCAGATAAAGGTATCTAGTGCTTCAAACCAGAAACCTGGGAATTTTCTTTCAGGCTTTCTCTTCAATTCTTTCAACTTGCAGCTGTTAAGTATTAAGAAAAGTAGTCATTAAGTGCCTCATATAATTCAGGTTCCAGGGTGTAGAGAAATAGCATTATTATAAATCTTATGTTCTGTGATGACCATATTCTAATGGGAAAGCTATAAAAAGCACAAATTAAACATCTATCAGTCTATCTATCAATCATCTATCAATCATCTATCTATCTTCCTTTTTTTTTTTTCTGAGACAGGGTTTCTATGTGTGGCACTGGCTGTCCTGGAACTTGCTTTGTAAACCAGGCTGCATATTTAATACTTGCTCATTCCATTATATAGACAAAGTATGAAAAAGAATGCAAATACATAATAGATTCAAGTTCAGAGTGTGTATACAAGAATGTGCCTACACTTTGAATTGGATAAAAAAACTGAGCTTAATCATTAGATAAATGGATAGGATATGAAATCCAGCAAGTATAGCCTTATTGATAGTCCCTAGGTGATAAATGTATGGGTTTTGAATACCCACATTACATTTTTAAAAAATTTCCTAAAACTTTAGGGGTCAAAAACATGTGTGATTCGATTTGATCTACATTTAAAATTTTATTATTACTATTATTATTGTTATTATTATTATTATTATTATTATTTGTCTAAATACTGGAGTATACAGGGCTGTTAGAGAAGTAGTGAGACAAACTGGAAGTCTGGCAGTTGGCCCAGGACAGCAGTGCAGGGTCGATGTCAAGTATATACTGAGGGCAGAACTCATGGGATGTGCTGATGTGTTTTGAGTAAGGATTTCTGTGAAGAAAAAAAAATGTTACTCTAGTGTTTTAATCTGAGGAAGTGGATAACCCCACTGCTAGCATTATCAGAAATGGACAAGGTTAGGGTAATATCATAAATTCTGCACCCGCCATGTTACTTTTTAAAATTAATTTATTTGGGGGGAAATTTCATACATATACCATATATATATATATTCTCCATTTCCTTTCTTCAGTTACCCCCTGGATGGTCCCCTTTGTGTCATCTTTTTTCTTTTCTTTTCTAGTATTTCACTCATCTGATTAGTGCTCCTTGTATACACAAGAGTACAGGACCATCTACTGAAGCATAGACAACTTACTCATGGTCACAAAGTGAGAGAAAAATGGTTCTCTCCCAGCCCCTGTCAGTTACCCCTTGGCTATGATATCTTAATGAAGCCCATCAGATATGGAGGGGTAATAGTCTTTTTCAATCTGCAGGGAGTTCATGGGGGTTATGTAAACCGGACAGTGACGATCAGAAGCTTAAAACAGAGGTAAAAGTCAGGAAGTAGCACTAGTCACAAAGTTCCCAAGGATAAAATGAGTCCAGTGACCTTTCAAGACATTCCAGCAATGAGATGTCAGTCATAAAAAGGAGAGCCAGCAAAGAATAAAGTAGAGGAGTAGGCAGTGGCATAGGAAAAAACAGGCAACAGAGACACTCTGATTGCCTATGATGACATGAAGAAAGACCACAGGATCAAGAGTCCATTTCACTGCCCTGGAACATGTAGGTGATGGCACTAATTTGTGGTGAGGGGAAAAGAATGTTCAAACTTGCTTGTTTTGCAATAAAATAGAATATGTCCATTGCAGATGCTTACTGGAGAATGGAATATAGGAGCTGTTGTGGAAGCAGTAAGACATGGCTAACTGTTTGGTGCTAGATTAAGACATACAGAGGAAGCAGGTGGGGTTGGGGTGGACTTCTGACACAGACCAGGGTACAGCTGATGCCAACAGCTTGTCTTCATCTTTTGAGTGTATGCTTTCTGCAACAGTATGGCACGCTGCTTGGCAACTTCATAAAAGACAGTCTTTCAATATACTCTGCTAGACAGAGCCTTCTGGATGATGCTTGGCTAGCACTTCCTATGTGTATACAGTTGAAGAGTTCAGTGGACCTGAAAAGAGATGGTTTACTGTAGTGAACTTGCCGTGGTTACAGACTAACCTCTGTTCTAGGGGCAGACGGACAGCCTCGTTAAAACTGCTTAGAGAGCTGATTCCTCATATGATAATGAGAGGGTTTTTTTTTTTTTTCAAGAAAAATACAAGCAAACTGAGCATATCTATAATCAGGGCATATGATTCATCCAAGTGATTATGTGATTATCTTTCTATAAAAATTATAAGGAAATTACATATTAAGGTACCCAATTTAGCATTGATACTATTTATGAAAAATTTAGTTGTGTCTACTCAATGTAGCTGCCTTAACCTCAAGATGATGTAAGAATCGTCCCTCCTGTAAGGGTCTTTGCAAGCATCATAATGGTAGCAAAATGATCTGAGTGAGGCAAAACGAAACTCAGGTCAGCAGGATTTAGGTGGTGCTGAGTCAAAAAATGAGGAGTCTGACACTAGGGCAATTTAGTTTAGGCATATTTAAATTCAGCACAATTTTAGAAAAAACAATTCCTGGTAACAACAGTAATCCCAATCCCATCTGCACAATAAAGTTAAGGCATGACAACATCAAAACTCTTTTGCAAAGTACATGTAACCTCTACCATAAAAAAAGTTCTCTAGTTTAAAAGGCTTAGGATTTGCTGTGGTCTCTGCCTGAGATAACGTAGAGGTCAGCAGGTCACAAAGTACACATTACATCTCTCCTAAGGATGGGTTCTGTTGACTAAGAAACAAAGCTTAAAGATAAGATCTAAGGAGAGAAGAATCTGGAATAAACATTCTGGGAGATTTGGGTGACATGACGACTGGCTACAAAAGTCCCCAGATTATTAACAACATCCACCCCCAACCTTCTGGGTGGAAAGTCACTGTTCATTTCCTCCTTTGAGGAGACAGCCCTGCGTGATTAAAACTCCTGGTTTCTCTAGTGCTTATCTGTGAGCACTCCTGCCTTCTACACTGTCTCACCTTTGGTGTCTCACACAACCCGGTTTTTCATGCTCTTAAGTAACATGTCTAAACCATGAACATACTTCAATATAGGGAAATATGTGGTATAGGCCACAGGTGGAAACACATACCCTCATGTTGGCAACCTTCTTCATGGAAAATGTAAATGCTATAGGAACAAGAAAGGTTAAATTTGACTACAAGGGAACCACTACATTAATTAAGTAATAATTACATTAATTTTCTGGAAAAATTGAAATATTTTAATGTTATATCAGCTTAATATTTTAAGTTATATACAATATTTTCTGAAATAGTTGCACTAAATTATGTTTATTTTAAATTTTTTTGAGCTTAAAAATATTTTAACTTGATAAAAATAACAGTAATGTTAACCTTACCTTGTTTTCCCTTTTTGCTCTATAGTTTTTGTCTTAGTCCAGAAAGCATTGTAAAGAAGTGAGTATCAAACATGGCCTTAGCAGACAAGAGGCTTGAGAACTTACAGATCTACAAAGTTCTTCAGTGTGTTCGCAACAAAGACAAGAAGCAGATAGAGAAGCTGATCAAACTTGGATACCCCGAGCTAATCAACTTCACTGAACCTATTGATGGACTGAGTGCTCTCCACTTAGCCTCAATTTCCAATGACATTGACATGGTTAGCTTTCTCCTTGGACTTGGTGCTCACCCTGATGTGCAAGACCACATGGGCTGTACTCCAACCATGAGAGCTGCAGAGCTGGGCCATGAGTTGTCAATGGAAATTTTAGCCAAAGCCAAAGCTGACATGACGATAGTTGATAATGAAGGAAAAGGTAAAACTCCAGTATCCAGAAAAATATACTCACTTTGTAGCCAGAAAGCAAGAAAATGGCTTTTTGTTTGTTTGTTTGCTTCCCAGCCGTAGAAGCAAATTAAGACCTTAAGTAAAAGATTCAATTCCACTGCTGCACCTAAATATATAACCTCCTTATAATATAAAACAGTTTAGGAATATTGTGGGGGAAAAAGTTCTGAAAGCCCACTCATGTAAAAACAACTAGATTGATCTGTATTTGATAGTTTTTTTTTTTCCTTTCCTCATCTTTTTTTTTTTTTTTTTTTTTTTTGAGTCTGGGTCTCAGTTCAGGCTAGTCTTGAATCCCCTTGGCATGAAGCTTCCAGATAGTATGACCTCAATGTCTGGCTTGTTAGATGCTTTCAAGTGAAGACAGCTTTCAACTTTACACATGCAGACATTATATTAACCAATGGTGAAGGATAATATCTTATTTACAAAGAAGCCTTCCTTAAGTTGTAAAGTATGGTAGGGTTAGACTTAGGGCTACAGATGGATTTTGTCCTGTGTGGTTCCAAGGTTAATATGGGAAGGACTGAATTTGAAAGGCTGAAAAAACTAAGGTAAATTTTGCTTAAACCTCAATTTTGTAAGGTCAGTTTTAATATATTTGGAAATATATCTTGAAATATTACACATGGCTATTGAGAATTATTGCATGTGTAATTCTGGTGACAAGCTATCAGTCTCAAAAACATGGTCTGGGGATTTTTGCCTAGTTGAGTTAGTAGAGTTAGGTCAGAGTTGAGACAGGCTCACGAAAATTAACAAAATAATTACAAACACACTCAATATAAAATGGTAGATTGAATCAGTTATCCCAGAGGATTGCCATGCCTACAAACTCACTGACACTAACCTTTGAAGAAATGAATCTCATTTTATACTGTTAGTATCTTCTGACAGTAGGAAAAGCTATTCTCTAACTCACTACCAACTTGCTATTTGATATATGGCATGCACTAGAACCACATAACAAAATAAACATAAGATGCATTTAGAGGTCAAATATGATTTAAAAATTTAAACACTGAAAACACAGCTTTTTAATTTTTATTTTTTATAATTTTTTCATTTTATATCCTGATTATAGCCTCTTCCCTCATCTCCTCCTGGTCCCACTCTCCCCCCCGCCCATTCCCTTCCCATAGTCCACTGAAAGGGAGAGTCCTCCTCCCCTACCATCTGACCCTACCTTATCAAGTCTTAGCAGGACTGCCTGGATCCTCTTCCTTTATGGCCTGCCAAGGCTCCATCACCAGGGGGAAGTAACCAAAAGAGCAGGCAAGGTAGTTCATAACAGAGACAGTCCCTGCTCCCCTTACTAGGGAACCCACATGGAGACCAAGCTGCCTATCAGTTACATCTGAGCAGGGGGTCTAGGTCCTCTCCATACATGGTCCTTCGTTGATGCATCAGTCTCCATGCAGGCTTTGTTGGTTTCCTTGTGGAGCTCCTGCAGCACAGATTTCTATCAGACCTTCAAAGAAGAGCTAATATCAATACTCTTCAAACTATTCCACAAATAAAAACAGAAGGAACATTGACAATTTTATTAGGCCACAGTCACCTTGATACCTAAACCTCACTAAGACCCAACAAAAAAAATTTCAGACCAATTTCCCTTATGAACATTGATGCAAAAATACTCAATAAAAAACTCAAAGGGAAAACATAGCTTTTAAGCTTCACATAATGGCTGGGCATGGAGACCCACACCTGTATTCCAAACACCAGGGAAGCAGAATCAAAAGGGTCATAGTGGTTTGAGGTCAGCCTGGTCTACAGAATGAGGTTCAGTTTAGCCAGGGTTACACAGTGAAAACCCATCAACCTCAACGCTTCATAGACTGCCATTATCTGAGGTGCTTTCCCATGAACTATAGAATCATTGAGATGTTAAAAGTGGTACATGCAAAGTTGGTCCTACTATTGAATTCATTAGACAGCCATTGAATAAAACAAATTGAAGCATTGTTCCTGCTGGGACAAAGTCAAAATATTTTAAAATGTTTATTTGGCCATGAAGCAGTTTTTCCACATGGCATCAAACATACTTTAAGTTATTTAGAGTAAACTCTGAAAAACACTGTAATAAAAGGTTTACTTTCTTAAATTGGAACTAATATTTAAATAAAACAATATTTCAAAATGAGACATTATATAGCATAAAAATCTAAAAATGTAAAGATTAAAAACAAAATTAACAAGGTCAAGTAAATATTTGTAGCAAATGCAACAGCCATATGGCTAATATTTACCCCCATTCAGATTACTATTAAGCTAACAAAGATCTGAGAAGTATGAACATATGGAAAAAACAATATAAGTCGCATGGGAGAAACGAAATACGAAGTAAAATAAATGCAGTGTGTTTTTCACACATAACCTTGTTAATTGGTTCCTGGTTGACACAGGCCCCTGTCTTTCTCCCTTGGAGGGACCCCATTTGGCTTGCGCAGCCGCAGCTGGGGGCCAGCACTTTGCTTTTCCTAGGACCCTCCCTGACATTGACAACCTGTTTCCCTACTGACGCCATTTTTTCCTACAGCACAAGAAAACATGGAGCATTTACATGGGTCATTAAAAGGATGTGACATATGCTGTAGGCTTTGTGCTATGAGTTACAAAAGCTGTCATTGCAAAATACGCACTTTGCAAGCACCTTAGGGCTTTTAAAATAAACTGGGTCTCATCTTACATTCAGAGTTCGATATGCTTTGGTTCTCTACTATGCCATTTTGGTCAGCTTATTTTTGAGATTATAATGTATTTACAGTATTTCTCCCCTCCCTCTCCTACTCCCAAACTTGCCCATTTATCCTTCTCCATTCTTTTTCAAATTCATGGCTTCTTTCTTCACTAGTTAATTGCATGCATGTGTATATACATATATTCTTAAATATAGCCTTTTTTGGATCATAGAATGTTAACTTCTTGTATGTATGTTTTCAGAGCTGACCACTTGACACTGGACAACCAATTGGTGTGATCTTCTCTGGGGAGGACCACCTTGCCTGGTCCCAGCATTACTCAGTTGCCTATATCCATCTGTACCTAGAATTCCTCCAGCAATTTAGCTTTGGTTCTATGTTGAAGAGATTGCAGAGACTCTTACATACACTTTCACCTATTGTTAGACTAGTGTTTCAGATGAAGTAGTTTAGCCTGCTCATTTCCACTTCTCTTACTGATTTCCTTTGTTTAGTCATGTGTGTGTGTGTGCTGATTCTGCATATAATTTTTTCTGTTTTCTTTCTCCCTGATGTTATAAAGTCCTTTTTAAAAAGATCTTCTTACTTGCAATGTCGCCATTGAAAGTCTTGGTTTTCTACATTAGATGAGAGTTAAGTTTCTGCCCATCAGACACTTCTTCACCTGGCTTTACCTCATGTTCATAGTTGTTTTTTTTTAATTCTTTATTAATTACACTTTATTCACTTTGTATCCCCCACCTGTAGTTCCCTCCCGCCTCCCCTCCCAGTCCCTCCATGCCTCCCTTCTGTACGCATGCCCCTCCCCAAGTCCACTGATGGGGAGGTCTTCTTTTCCTTCCTTCTGATCCAAGTCAATTAGGTCTCATCAGGAGTGGCTGCATTGTCTTCTTCTGTGGCCTGGTAAGGCTGCGCCCCCCTCAGGGGTGATTAAAGAGCAAGCCAATCAGTTCATGTCAGAGACAGTCCCTGTTCCCATTATTATGGAACCCACTTGGATACTGAGCTGCCATGGGCTACATCTGTGCAGGGGTCTTGGGTTATCTCCATGCATAGTCCTTGGTTGGAATAGCAGTCTCAGGAAAGACTCCTGTGCTCAGATTTTTTGGTTCTTTTGCTCTCCTTGTGGAGTTCCTGTCCTCTCCAGATCTTACTGTTTCCCACTTCTTTCATAAGATTTCCTGCACTCTGCCTAAAGACTGGCCGTACTTCTCAGCATCTGCATAGTTCTTAAAGCGTGGTTTTCTGAGGCACAGTGTTCTCTTTGGATTTTCAGATTCAGGTTTTTCTTTCGCAAAGTTGTTATTGTACTTGTATAATTTTTCTTTCGTGTTTTGCCTTTTGTTATTAAAATGTGTGGAGGCATCTTTGTGTGGAGGTTTCTCTGAGTCAAGTCTTAATTTCTGTAATTTTCCTCTGTCTCTTGACTACCGGTGATATAGGCTCTGGTCTTCCTTTGTCTGCTTCTAATTTGACTTTCAATCTTTAATGTCCTTTTTTTTTTTTAGCTCCTGTTGGCTCAATTCTTTTTCTTGCTGTCTGTCTTATATTCTCTTTGGTCCTTTTTTACATTTTTATTATTGAATGGGTTATATTTAGTTTCTTTGCTAATATAACAAACAGACCAGCCAATCATCTTTATTTACATGGTCTTTTGAGAATATTCTTTTACCTGCCTCTTATTATCTATTTACCTATCTTTTTTGTAGTGTCTTTTTCATAGGTCACATGTTTCTTTCGGGCTGTAGTTTGTTTTTGAATGAAGCCTCTTTGGGGGAAAACTCATTACAAAGTCATTTTGGAGTTTAACTTTTATTTACACACAACTTGCTTAGCGCCATCTTTGTCAGAATTGTAATAGTACCTGGTCTATAATATATTTTGGCACAGAATATGTTGATGTAGGGCATGTTATAGTCCCAAGTGTGAAGACTGAGCATTTTCCTCTGTTGGGTGGATCAAAGTGATTTACCAAAATGACAGAGCAGATTCGATTTTTCTTCTTACTGCTATGAAATCGAGAGACTGCACCCTATAAACATGGATTCAAGTGGGGATCAGAATACCCAAGGAACTTTCTGGCACACACAGCCCTGAAGATTTGAAGGGTCAGATCAGCTAGGGACCATAAGCTGCCAAATCCCAGGGCCGACAAGTCCTATAAGATTTAGTTGTAGCTGTTTTCTAACTGACAAAGACCTGTCTTATGGGATTTTAAATTCTACTTTTTTTTTTTTTGCCAGCTTCACACACACACACACACACACACACACACTTAGAGAGAGAGAGAGAGAGAGAGAGAGAGATTTAATTTTTTTCTTTTTCTTTTTGAGATTTTAATTCAATTACAATGTTTTTCCTTTCCCTTTTCTTCTTTCAAACTCTCTCCTATCCCATTTCCCACTCTCCTTCAAATTGATGGCCTCTTTTTCATTAGTTATAAGTGTATGCATATATGTATTTGTATATGTTTACATATTCCTAAATACAACCTGTTGAGTCCATAGAATGTTACTTATATCTATGTTTTCAGACTGGCCATGGATGAGGACTACTCATTATGGAACTCTTTCTCTGCAGGTGTTCTGTTCTATTGCATTTTACCCACCAAGAGGCATTACCGATGTGCGTTGATTGCCCTAGAGCATGGTGCAGATGTCAACAACACCACAATTGATGGGAAACCCGTGTTCATCAGAGCTTGTGAGGAAGCACATGATGTGAAGGACATGTGCCTGACATTTCTGGAGAAAGGAGCCAATCCTAATTCTATCTGCACAGTATGACTACCCCTGTGATTAATATTTCTTTATTCTACTATACTACACAGTCAAGTGGTTGGGGTATTTTGTTGTTGCTTTTTTTTTTCCCTTTTGTTTTTTGTTGTGTGTTTGTTTTTCACACTTAATCATGGTAAAATAGGGGCCCAGCATGGTGGCACATGCCTTTGGTTCAGCACTTGAGAGGCAGAAGCAGGCAGATTTCTGTGAGTTCAAGGCCACCCTGCTCTACACATGCTAAGCCAGCGAGGGCTACATGGTGAGACCCCATCTCAAAACAAAAGAAGGAAAAAGGCATGCTTGGGCGAGGGAGAAGACATGGTAAAATTGTCCTGTTAGCTCATTGATTGCTCTAATCAAAGTGCTGAAGATGATACACATTCATTGTCTTTACATTGCTGCTATTCTATACTTTATTTGCAATTTTGTTTGGAAATTGTCTTTATTATTCATGTTGTTAGAATATCATTATAGCAAATGGAAACAGTATCCCTGGCACCTAACAAATAATATCTCCATAGAAAGAAAATTCTGTTGCCTCTTATATGTATTTTTTGACTCCTCTTTTCAACTGGCTAATATGGGGTTTTCAGTTTTGTAATGATCATTTCCAGACATTTAGAAATAGATTTTCTTCTCATTAGAAAATAAATGCTACCTATGTTTAGCATACTACTCCTCTCTCCTTTTCATTTTATACTCTGCTTTCTTTGTAGACACATACATGTTTGCATGACTTTCTTACAGGGGTATTCAGAACAACCTTGATTCTGGCAATATAATTTCATTTCAGATAGTCACACAATGCTAACTGAATGCTTTCTGTTCTGAAAGTGAAACCAATAAAAATGTAGATCATTAAACTTCTTAGCATAAAGCTACCTCCAAAGAATTCAACCCTTGTTGAATTGACCATGGTTTTGCATTAAAGTGTAAACAACATCTGTTTTGTGTCCAGGCCACAGGGCGCACGGCTTTGATGGAATCAGCAAGAGAAGGGGTGGTGGAACTAGTTCGAGGCATATTGGAAAGAGGAGGTGAAGTGAACACATTTGACTATGAAAGACTCCACGCTGCTCATTTTGCTGCCAAAGGAGGCTTTTTTGATGTAATAATTGTTCTTTACTTTAAATTTGACTCTTAAAGCTTTGTTCTTTTTTTTTCTTTTTCATATAGATTAAACTAAGGCAGTTATTTTTCTAAGTTACTTATGTTGTTTTATCTTTATTTTCCCAAATATAAAACTTTAACTCTGACCACGTATCCTGACTCTTACCAGTTTTATTTATTTGCTAACTTTTCTATATATTTGCTAACTTAGTCACTGAACATTACTGGTATTGTTTTTTATGTAGTTGACTGTGATACAAAAACCCTGCCACTTGTGACTATGCTATATAATGCCTCTGATAGCTACTGAAATCTTCAAGTCTCATATGATCTACTTATGGGGAGGAAATGTCATCAATTCTCACCTCCTTGCTTTGTTGTGTGCCTTGTGATGCTTCTGAACATCCTGACCCCTTAGGAAACATTTCGAATTTTCAGCATCCACATGTGGTAATAGACAAAAGATTGGCTAGCACAGGTCTGGCTGCCAATCTTCTAGCAAATGACCATTCCTATTTTTCTCTTGTTTATTTTGCAGATATTGAAGCTTCTGTTTGCCTACAATAGTGACTTTGGGTTAATCGGAATGAATGGGAACACACCACTTCATTATGCTGCTATGGGTGGCTTTGCGGATTGCTGTAAATATATAGCTCAACGAGGTAAAATTATAGTTTTGTTTAATGTGTTTATGGTCTACCGTGTCATAAATGATTAGAGAATTCAGGCTTGTTACTTATCATCTACTTAATTTTCAGTTACCAATCTTCACACAATGTAGGCTGAAAATTGAATTTGTTTTTTATGCAGTTGTTCGCTGAATTATGAATCTAGTAATAAGAAGAATTAAAACCTAAGTCAAGTGAATTTGATTTTCACGTGTTAACTAAATATTAAAATGTTTATAATTGACAAATATTCTTATTTTAGGATTCCCAACATCGATCTCAAGAAAGACAAACCATGAAAATAATTTTATCTTACCTGAAATTTTAATTACTTCCTTTTTAAAATACATGTCAAATTAAAAATACATTTCTGGGTGATTTGCAGTTACAAAGAAGATACTTTATGGGAAACGAAATGAAAAGATTTATGAAAATATGATATATAAACAACACTTATTTTGTAGATTTTCTTGCAGCATAGGAACATATGTTATCTAGTGCTCACCATAGCTTAGAAAATTTGTTACAATAAAATACAAACTAGCTAAATTAAACAACACTGATGTCTCCTTGTCAGTTACTCACTATTGAGTGTACTCCAAAGTTTAATTCCAGTAGAATGTATTTGCGCTTTGTGGAATTTTGGGGGTTTTTTTTGTCTAGTTTATGAAAAATCAAAAAGAATTTTATACAATTGTATAGTAAAACAGTGTTTTCTGCTTCTGCCCCCACAAATAAATTTTAGAGCCATTAAGATGTATGATCAGCAGGCCCATATGACTAATAGTACAACTGGTCTGAGCTCATACTCTTCCCAAGAGTAAGCTTTTAACAAATAAGAGGATTATTTTATATGCACTGTTTTGCCCAGCAAACTGTCTAATTAGTCTTATTTTGAAATCTGTCACTATCAACATTTTATTCTGATATTTCATTTAACAATGTAGATTTCTAAATGTTAGTAATCTCTCAAGGCCAGGTCAGTCTTCATCATCTTTAATATGTTTAACAATTTCTTGCTGAGACAAATGTCATCACATGTGTACTCTACTGATGGTGTACCCTAGAATAAAACACTGGGATGCTTCCCTGGGAAGCAAAGGATGGAAACCTGAATTATGCACAAAGGCCTGACCTAGCGATAGAGAGACAATACATCTTCCTGGATGAATCCTAAAATGTTTTCCTAAAACAAATGTCTGACTATGCTCTGAGAGCTGAGGAGTGTTTGGAAGTACCACCAGACAAGATTAGAGGGAATAACAGTCTTTTAACCACCAAAAGGTTTCCTTATTAGGAGGACAAGCTAAAGTGGGTTTAAAATCTCTTAGCTCCTAGTTCTGGGGTGAGCACAAAGGAACTGGCTGTGGGTTTAAGATTCCAGACAAAGCAAAATACTTACTCCAAAGCAGCAGGATGTCTGTGGCATTACCATGCCATGGAATTCTTCCTGGGGCCTTCCTGAGTCACTTTCCAAGTAAATGACTGTTCTTAAAACTGTCTAGTTTAAAACTTTCAAAACTTCCGTTTTTACATACTCCCATTAGGGTTTTTTTTCCTTTTCTTTTTTTTAAATTTTTATTAATTACAGTTTATTCACTTTGTATCCCAGCTGTAGTCCTCTCCCACATCCCCTCCCAACACCACCTTCCCTCCTCTTCTCCTTTGCTCCTCCCCAAGTCCCTTGATAGGGGAGGTCCTCCTCCCCTTCCATCTCACCCTAATCTATCAGCTCTCATCAAGACAGGCTTCTTTGTCTTCCTCTGTTGACTGGTAAGGCTACTTCCCCCTCAGCTGGAAGTAATCAAAAAGCCAGCCCATGAGTTCATGTCAGAGATGGTCCGGTCCCTGTTCCTATTATTGGGGAACCCTCTTGGACACTGAGCTGCCATGGGCTATTTCTGGGCCAGGGGTTCTAAGTTATCTCCATGCATGGTCCTTGTTTGGAGTATCAGTCTCAGAAAAGACTCCTGTGCCCAGATTTTTTTATTCTGTTGCTCTTCTTATGGACCTCCTTGCTCCCTCCAGGTCTTTCTATCGTTCCCTTCTTTCTTTCTTAAGATTCCCTGCACTCTGCCCAAAGTTGGGCTATGAATATCAGCATATGTTTTGATGCCCTGCTGGGTAGAATCTTTCAGAGGCCCTCTGTGATAGGCTCCTGTCCTGTTCCCTGTTTTCTCCCTCTTCTGATGTCCATCTCATTTGCCTTTCTGAATGAGGATTGATATTTTACCCAGGGTCCTACTTCGTGATTAGCTTCCTTACATGTACAGATTTTAGTATGTTTATCCTATATTATATGTCTAATATCCACTTATAAGTGAGTATGTACGACATGTGTCTTTCTGCTTCTGGGATACCTCACTCATGATGATCTTTTCTAGTTCCCACCCTTGCCTGCAAATTTCATGATTTCTTCATTTTTCATTGCTGAGTAGTATTCCATTACGTAAATTCCATTACCACAATTTCTCTATCCATTCCTCAACTGAGGGACATCCGGGTTGTTTCCACTATCATCAGAACAAAATGGCAGCCTACAGACTGGGAAAGGATCTTCACCAACCCTCTGTCTGACAGAGGGCTAATATCTAGAATATATAAAGAACTTAAGAAGTTAAACAGCAAAAAATCAAGTAATCCAATTTAAAAATGAGGTACAGAGCTAAACAGAGAATTCTCAATAGAGGAACATTGAATGGCAGAGAAACACTTAAAGAAATGCTCAACGTCCTTAGTCATCAGAGAAATGCAAATCAAAATGACTCTAAGATTTCACCTTACACCCATCAGAATGGCTAAGATCAGAAACGTAAGTGACAACACATTCTGGAGAGGATGTGGAGAAGAGCAACCCTTCTCCATTGCCGGCAGGAATGTAAACTTTTCCAACCACTTTGGAAATCTATCCAGCACTTTCTCAGACAACTAGAAATAGTGCTACCTTAAGATCCAACTATACCACTCCTAGGTATATATCCAAAAGATGCTCAAGTATACAACAAGGACATTTGCTCAACTGTGTTCATATCAGCTTTATTTGTAATAGCCATTATGTTTCCTTTTTTTTAATTTTATTTTTCTCATTAGTTACATTTTGTTAATTCTGTATCCCTCATTCCCTCCCCAGTCCCACCCTCCCTCCCTCATCTCCTCCCTGCCCCTTTCCAAGTCCATTGATAGGGGAGGACCTCCTCCCCTTTCATATGACTCCGTTTTGTCCGGTATTTTCAGGACTGGCTTCAAAGTCCTCCTCTGTTGTGGTGGCGCACACCGGTAGGATTTGCTGAAGGAGGCAGAGGCAGGAGGATCATGAGTTCGAGGCCAGCCTGGGCTACACAGTTTTTACTGTCTCTTTGACCTCCCCACCTCCCAAGGGAGTAGCAGTACTGTTAGGCCATTATGTTTCTTAATTTCTACTAAGATAACCTTAGTATAAATATAAATTTTTGACAATTCTAATAAAGAATGAACTGAAGACCATTGTTGATCATTTCATTGTCTTTTCCCTCTTTTTTTTTGGGGGGGGGGCAGAGGGTTGATTATATTTCTAGGTGTCTTCTCTTCTCCCCAACACATAAAAGAAGAACCCTGATGTCTGACAAAACTAGCATATCACTGTCATCTTTTTTTTCTAAGAAATAAAGATAAGTGTTCCCACAGAGCCACCTGTAGGTTTCTATTATGTCATGTTGTCAAAACAGCTGCCCAGCCCTCCTCTAGATTAAAAACCAGAAAGAAGTCATCATAGATGGAATTATTTATACAATCTCCAGATTTCTTGGTAGTAATAAGCATTCCCTGATAGTTAATCATGCTCAGATATTTTAATATTTTATTTTAAGTAAGGAATTAAAATAATGAATTCTGATATTGATCTTATATACAAACACTGGAATGTTCAACTTTTATTAAACAAATTAGTTTTTCACCTGTTTTCCCCATGATTCTTACCACACAACAGCAAATTAGGATAGATTATCTTCAGTTAATAGAGAAAACATGAAATATTGTTTCAGCATGTAAAAGGCTTCGTATTGAAAAAGAAGCAGGCATCCTCATGTATTTTGAACTGATGGAGTCCTGTGCAAGCTGTTTGGATCAGGAAACTTCTTACTGAACTCTAGGGTACCCTCCCTTTTTCCCTGTTAGCATCATCTCCCAGCAAAAATCCCATTGAAATTTATTTCAAACATCTACATTTTATCTAAGTTGTCTATATAACAGGGTACATATATGATCAGATACATATTGTAAACTTGTCCCTCAGAATGTACTCAAGTGAAGCTCTCAGGAAAATAAATTGCTGTTTTGGTAATTACAAATGGCTGTGTTCTTTATACAACAATTTTAAGAACAAAACTTCTGACTACACGAAATCAAGAAAACAGTTGGGAGTGTCATTTTGTGGGGCCAAGCAGATAACTTTGGCACATTCTTAACAATGATGCTCTTCTTTTTTTTTTTAGGATGTGACCTGAAATGGAAAAATTTGGAACATAAAACACCCCGAGCTTTGGCAAAAGAGGGAGGTTTCAAAGCTGCCAGCAAAGAAATACGTCGAGCAGAGCTGACTGCGGCTAAACTTGCCAAGCCAGGAGTCAAAAATCCTAACCCAATCTGGGCCCTCAGGCTGCATGACTGGTCTCTGGAGCACGAGGCTGTACTTCGGGAAGCCTTTTCCTTCGTGGATAGGGGCGATGGCGTAGTCAGCAAAGATGACTTCGTGGGGACCCTGGAAGAAAGACAAGACTATGCCACCTCGGATCAGCTGCTTTCCATCGCTCAAATGCACGAAAAAAGCCGGGGAGGTGGGGTCAGCATTAATGAGTTCTTTAAGGGAACCAAATACTTAAGCAAGTCTTATGTCTTGGGATCTTTCGGGCCTAAGAAAAAGAAAAAGGGATTGGGCAAAAAGCCAAAGAAAGGCAGGTTTGTTCTTCCTCTCCCCATCTGTACCATTCCTGAGATGGCCTTTCCTCGGAGGCCGGACGGGGGACCGCCCTACTACATGATAGAGACTTACCAGAACCTCACAGACTACACCAGGTTCAACCGGGATCATCCGCCAGAGCACCCCATCCAGGACGATTCGGGGTGGTACGTCGATAATCCAGGGAAGGTCTTCGAAAATATTAATTTTATCACCAAGGCGGGAGACCTGGCCTCTCTGAAAAAGGCCTTTGAAGCAGGAATACCAGTGGATATGAAGGACCGTACTTACAAGACACCCCTCATGACAGCATGCGCCACCGGCAACATGGATGCCGTCAAGTTTCTTCTTGAAAAGGGGTATGCTTTCAGATTTAGGGTTTTGCTGTGGCCCCACCTTCACCCCCGCAATGGACAGCCCAAATGCCTTGACAAGAGGGTTGCAGGCAAAGGGAGACACGGGGTAGTGGGGGCTGAGACAGTAGCCCACCAAGATGATCACAAAATGAAGGCGAAGAGTTTTCATTCTGCGGTGATTTCTTCTCGTTGCCTTCTCTTGCTTCTTGCTAGGGACTGGGCAGTTAGGTTTTGCCATAGGGTCATACTGGATGGTGCCATAGTGTGGAGTCACCTTTTAACCTACCTCATCTTTTATGGAGGGCCACAACGAATACAAGTAGGACAGCTGCCACAGTGAGAAACTGTGGCTAACCTACCTCTCCATTTCCCACCATCCATCTCCAGACAGAAGAGACCGCCTTGCTTCATTACAAAGATCTTTAATGCATGGTCTTTTCTGTTATCTCTTAAAGCTAAAACGATTGGTTTGTTTAATTGCTGCTTCTATCACAGTTATATAACTGGAAGCAAGTTTCTGACTACTACTATGCCTCGGTTTCCCCAAGAGTGCACTCGACTCTAATAGGACCTAGATACAAATTCAGAGATGATTAATTAAGCTAAAATATGTAATGCTCTTATGAGCACAATTGTTACAAATACATCAGAAAAGACATTTAATGTTATTACAGTGTTTCATGTCAAAGACTCATTTGCATATTATCAAAAGATAAAGTAAAAAATAACTTGAGTAGTGAAGTTCTAATGAGGACTAAAACTTTAAATAATACATTACAGTGCTTAGGTTTAAAAATAATGAACATTCATTCAAATTTCAGGACATGCAGAGAACTTAGACACAAAGTGGAATAATGTACATTTTATCTTTTTGCCCAGGTTTTATCTTCATTGAAATAGATTTAGAATTTTCCATATGTATACACACAAACATATATGCACAAAGGAAGTTAAGGCTACGCAATAATGCAAAACACAAAACAAAAGAAAAAATATTTGGGGCATATGAAAACATAAGAAAATTTCCACAGTTTACTTTCCTCAGAGCTCTTCTGATTGATTAAACTAATAAGAGTAAAACCGTCTGAGATTCTTTCAGATTTTCGGTTCCAATGTTTGAAACAACTAAAATTCTTAATTAGAGTATCTGTCTTGTTATACAGGGCAAATGTCAATGCAACAGATAATTTTCTGTGGACTCCACTTCATTTTGCTTGCCATGCTGGCCAGCAGGACATTGTTGAGCTTCTTGTTAAATCTGGAGCTGTAATAGATGCAACATCTATCAACAACTCTACTCCGTTAAGTAGAGCCATTGAGAGCTGTAGACTGGATACCGTAAAATACCTACTTGACGTTGGCGCCAAATTCCAGATTGAAAATAGAAGAGGTATGCATTTGTGTTACTGATGGTTGCGGCAAGAAAGGGGAATTGATTTTAAACAGAAAATCTGTCAGTTTTGTTCTTGTAGAGACATGGTTTCCTTGGAACTTATAGAAACTTAAGACTTCGTTAAGTGTTAAGGAAGTTATATCTGATACCTAGAACTTTTCAAATCATTGATATAAAAACTCGGCTCTTCATGTTTGCAATCTTTGTGGACTGACATTTTTTTCAAAGTTAAGTTTTTTTAAAAGCCTCCTAAAATGGAAGGAACCATGAACCACAAGCCCAAATGTTTTATTATTATTATTGTTATTATTATTCATTAAGTTCAAATGACAGAAAGTTTTTCTATTACATTGCTGTAAGTTCCTTTTTCCTAATCCTTACTGTATGCGTTAATGGATGATTACAAAAGAATATCTTAGTACCATGCATATTGTATATTTACCAAAATAACAGACATATATTGATAATTCACATGTTTAAACATATATAGTATAAAATTAGTGTATTTGTATATACACAAAGTAAACTTGGAATACGATTATTAATTAAATAATTTCCAGTGCATACAAAAGTTTATCTCTGGGGCAAAACTAACAAAATTAGCATATTTGAAGCTCCTTATAGTTTTTAATTTTTTATATTATAATATAGTTACATGATTTCCCTTTTCTTTTCCTACTCTAAAACTGTCCATGTACTCCCCTCACTTTGTTCTTTTTCAAATTTGTGATCTCTTTTTCTTTAATTGTTGTTAAACATGCACAGACATTTCTAAACAAATACAACCTGCTCAGTCTGTATAATGTTACTTGTATACATGTTTCAGAGATAAGCATATAGTATTGGAAAACTAACTGGTGTGCCTTTCCCTGGGGAAGACTATTTCTCCCATCCTCAGAATTCCTGTAGTTCTTTGTGTAGGATCGAGGCTCCTGCTTTCCCTTGCCCAAACATCACTATTGCTATTGGCCTTGTTCATGTACTTCTAAACATTTTATTTCTGCAGTAATTTCATGTTGTTAGTTCTTAACACAGACCATTTTGCAGGTCATGCTTAGTCACTACTAATGCCCTTATTTTAATAACTGGCCATTTAAAGACTGTAAACCTTGATTTTTCTCTTAAAACTTGGACAAGTGTCTCACTTGGGTCTTTATAGCACTAAGATACATGCTGTAACACTGTTCAGAGGTGTCTTTTTCTTAATTGGAACTCATACTGCCTTTGGCATGGCACCTGAATCACAGATAGTATATTGTTGGTTATGTTGTATTGGTGTAGTATGGCCTGGTGATGTTGGCAGTAAAATAATACCTGACGAGCACTTCTGAGCATTTCCCAGGCCATTTGAAATTCATCGCAAAATAGATATGTGTGAGGGACAGGGGTGGGGGGAAGACAACCAATTTAATATTAAAATGTAATTTAATATTTCTTGCTAACATTTAAGATACATAGTTAAAAGAATTTGTATTAGTAAATGGCTCTTGGAGTGCTGGAACTCAGTAGTGAGATCCTTCTGGAGAATTTCTATCATGCTCTGTGAATTCACACCACCATATGCTAACATGCTGATTTTTTTCTACATAGTTTATCATTAGATTGCTTATTTATAACTTTCAATTTATGTTTTTGTTTGAAACAGGGCATACTGCCATGGATATTGCGAGGGCATATGCTGATTACAGAATAATTGATATGATAAAAGAAAAGTTAGATAACCTGCCTAAACCAATAGATAATCAAAAACTGAAAGGCAAGCTTCCTAAACTGAAGACTGAAGGCACGGATGTCAAGAAAGAAGAGGTAAAAACAAAAAGAAGCTTGACTATCAAGTAGGAATGGGAAATCTGCAAAGCCTCAGGGTGGCAGCGGCATTAGGTTATAACATTGCACAACAGGGAAGATGGCATGCTATGTGCCCCTTTGACAGTAATTACATAGATACATCTAGCAAGAAAGTTACTGTTACTGAAGACTATAAAATATTCATAGTAAACAGAGTCCACATGAAATATAAATGATTCACTCAAATTATAAGGATATTGAAAAAAAACTGGTATTGAATTTGTATGTACATGTTCCTGAATTCTACAGATTCAGTGATACAGCCCAAACAGAGAGGGAAGACAATGAAGAAGACATTGCTGTTAGTAAGGATACCCAAAGTGCATTTCCAAGCTGGAAGTTTCTTTGGGGGAGCAGATGGTTCACTGAAGATCCTTGTATAAGGCAGAAAAAAAAAATCAATGAGAGTCAAGAAATAAAACCCCTAATGACATCACATTGGAGGCTGGGGAATGTCGACAGTAGGAAATAAGCTGGGTAAAGGAACTGGGCAGAAGGGACCAAGTTCCAGTCACGAATTAATTGTAGCAATATGGTCTCCACCAATTGCATCTCCTACTATAGACACCATCATTTTATTAGGAGTCCATCTTATAGCTATAGCTCAGAGATAGAGATATTGAAAACTCATGTTAACTGTCTCTGATATGACTAGTTACATGACTCTCAGAAAGGCAAGCTAAGTATCTCTCCATATCTGCAGTTATAGTATTTATAATATTCTATCATATCTCAAATTTTAGCACTGTCCTTCTTTCCTAACATTTCAAAGTAAAATGTAGACAAAAGGATATTAATGAATGCTTAATTTTAGCAATTTATACTTTTAAAAATATTTTTTTCAGGAAACACTGTCATCAATTTATGCTGTACCAGCAATAACAGAGGAAAAGAGACCACACAAGGACAATGTGGTTTACCTCAATTCCCTGATTACCAGTGGTTACACTAAGAAAGTTGATATCACATTTATCCCACCAAGGGTAAGTGTCTAGGGGGTAGCCTCTGTAACAGCACAGCGCTGTTCTCATATGCTGACTAGACTGATCATCTGTGTCCATATTCCACAGTTACTGCTGGAGTGGTCCCCTGGCTATGCTCTGCCACATTCATCTCAGAAGACCACCTTTTAATTACCAACATCTCTTCTATTTCTTACTATTTCTATGCTAGTACTTACATTCTCCTCATAAGACTGCAGTGGCCTTTGGCTAATGGCATCCCTTATAGCCATTCAGTCATCATATTCTATTTTTGGTATTATAACTTTTCAAACCCCCTACTCCTTACCAGTACTTATGGAATCTTCATGCCACCAAGGCTGAACAAACTCTTTAGTATCCTAGAATATTTTCCCTTAAATAGGTAAAGGAGAAAGGGGAAAGGAGTTATCTTTCCAGTACCCATCCAGCCATGCTTTCTACCTTCTGTTACAAAAATAATTTGACTTTTACATTAGGAATAAGGGACTTCCTAATTTTTTGATCTTGCATTTTGATATCATGGAACTAAATAGCAGTTGGCCCAGAGGTAACTAGAGAAGGAACTAAAGAGCATTTAATGATCTCTGTTCCTAGGTGGGCCTCACGAGAAATAGTGATGTTCACATAACCGCTAAGGTGATAATATAGAGGAAAACAGTAACATGCACTTCCAATGTATACTTGGTAGTTCCGGTTGACTATGGGAAGTTTTCTCAGGTTGAAGATGTTATTCATGCATAGAGTACTCAGCTAGCATGTGCATAGTTAAAAATATGTATGAGGGTAAAAATCACTGGCCATAATTATAACAACTGCCTTGATTTTGGCTGTTTAAGATTTGGAGTCCTGAAGCCACAACAGCAGAGCTGATCAAGAAGAGGGAAATGCGGAGGGAGAGGTTCACATACGAGGTGGACTTTGAAGACTTCATGATGCCTTTCCAAAAATACATCACGGAGAAAGCTCAAGCAATGGAGGCATCCCTCAGAAACTAAGTCCCAGCATTTGCCTCCTAGGATAAGTGCTCTGTGATCCAGAGTCCAGAGTTTGGAAAAAGTATGTATTTCCATCAAAGGCAAAACACTCTGTCCATTAAGACTTTGTTTCTAAAGATCAGTTTTTGCTGTAACAGCTGTAAATATCCTGAGTTGTATCAGACACTCTCTTTCATTTTGCAGTATGGCAGGTGATCCATCTAAATGCCCAACCTTCATTAAAAGTGTAGTAGGCCACGTGGCAGTTATAAGTATTGTCAAAAATTTACTAGATGTGCACCATTACGTTTATTAAAAAGAATTCTAGTACACATTCAAGACCCGGGATCAATCCCAGAATCATATTTTAAAGTGAAAACCAACAATATTGGTTTGAAAGTACACATCTGTAAAGAAAAAAAAAACTTTTCAAGAGTGGGTATAAGTAGCACATACCTATAATTTCAGCACTGTTGAGGCAGAAGATTGCAACCTAGATTCTGGGCGAGGCTATATAACAAGACCCTATCTCAAAAAAAAAAAAAATAGTGCTGAGAACATACCTAAGTGGTAGGTAATTCACCTAACATAGGCATGGGCATGGGCTGGTTTCTAGCACTACAAAAAATATAACAAAATAAACACAGTAGAAAGTGATGGAAACATATATAATATGATATAACCCTTAGAGGTGGGAGTTTATTCCTCAAACATAATTGTAAAGGTGCCTCAGATACCTTGGGCCAGGTAAACTTTGGACACTGTACATGCCACTGTTTCCCGCTACTTTGATATTATAGAGTTCTTGCATCTGACTTCCAGATGGCAGAGAACTCAGTCTTGAGTAGCAGTTACATCTCCTGGAAGCAACTCACAGCTAGTGACTAAAGAACATTGGACTCCCTCACCTTCTGGTTGGATGACTGAAGTGCATATTCCTGCTGGACCATAGCACTAGAGAGTTAGATAGAGTTGAGCTCTGTCATGTCAATGTCTTGACTGTATTGCTTCCTCAAACCACCTAACTCTGTTTCTAGGTAGCTTCTATAAAGGTCCCAACTAAGACGAAAAGCCATGAGACTACACTGAGCTATGGTTCTAAAAATCTTTAACAAATGCTTTGAAGATGAATTTCCTTATCTTCTGGTTACTATAAAATAAACATTTCTCTAGTTTGGAGAAACTGAAACTAAAGGGCCATTTAAATAGTCTTCTTATAAAAATTGATAATTTGAGCAAATTTTCCATATATTAGAAAATGATGTGAGAATGGATAGAGATATCACATCCCAGTAATATGTTTAAAGAGAGAAAAATCAAAGAATAAAGATAAATTCAAGAAATCCAGCATCAAGAACTAATTTAAAAAAATGGGAGAATGGGAGCTTAGCATAAAACCTTCTAGGTACCCACTGGTATTTAAACTTAAAGCCTGCTCCCTATTTTGGAAAGAATAAATATCAGGGATGTGATGAAGATATGGGACCAATAAAATAGTGGATGGATGGATGGATGGATGGATGGATGGATGGATGGATGGATGGATATTACCTACTTTGTCTCACTGGGGCCAAAATATCTGTCAGAACAACTTTAGTAAAGAAAGGTTTATTTTTGGCTCATGGTTTGAAAGGGAACAGTCTATTATGGAAGCTGTTGAGTCTTTGCCTCTGGTGGTAGGAGTACAGTGAGGCTTGTCAAGAATCAGGAAATAACTTCAAAAACTGCCCCTCAGAAAACTTCTTCTTCGAGCGAAGCCACAGTTGCAGAGGGTCTATAATCTCCCCAAATGGTGCTACCAGCTAAGTACTAAGTGTTAATTAAACACATGAACTTGGGAGGGGTCGGGTACATTTGGTATTCAAATAAATACATAAATGATGGATGAGTGGGTGGGAGGATGGGTGGGTGGGTGGGTGAGGAGGGTAGGGATAGACAGATGACTGGATGGATAGATGAATGGATGGGTGGGTGGGTGGATGGGATGATAAGGGACTGGTTTACAAAAGAGTGAGTGCTTGTTGGACAAGTTTCTAAGTATATAATACAGCCATGAGATATGTCAGCTGGAGACTCTTGATCAGGAACACTCCATGAAATTCACAGGAGTAATTTCTTTCTCATCAACACCTCGGTTGTTTCTACCCCTAAACACATTTGTACTACTTCCTGAGATATGTGAAAATTCTTTTATATGCCACTATTTCAACTGCCAAATTTTGTACTGCTGTCAGAACAGTGTTATGATATTTTCATCAGGAAGTCAATGTATAAAGGAACTATCTAAAGAACTTCTTTTCAAACTACTACTACTACTCAAAGTAATAAAGTTTACAGCAGAAGAAAAACCCAGGTTGGAAGATGCATTCAGTACTGTATGTCTTTAGTGCCTTTTAGCTTAGAACTGCCTTCCTTCATTGTTGTTATTTTATTAATATTGCTAGTTAAGAACACAGGACAGACATTTTGCAAATATCCCTTAATTTTGTCATATTATTTCCCCAAGAACAAATTTAAACACTATGTTTGAGGCAGCAATACCAGGAATGTGACATGGCACATTCTTTAGTACTACTTTAACCAGAAGTTAGAATTTGGGAAGCTTATATCACACATCAGCATGTGTCTTCTAAAGTGGAGAACCTTACACTGCAAGCAAGTATTCTCTTCTTGTTGTACTTACAAGTATCTTAAGGAGTATATTTGAAAGTATGCAAATTTTCTTTCAATGAATTTATCAACGAATGCTAATATTCCTAACTAATTCCTTCTGGTAAAAATGCTACAGTGACAATAACATATTTTGTTGTCATCTTTCTGTGTCTTATCTGTCTTTTTTCTGATGGTCAGTGCTTTCTCTTCTACCTTCATTTTGGTAATTTAGCCAGTGTGTGCTCACACATTCATTTCCTACACAATAGGCTCTAGCTGTGGAGACACCTATGAACACAAGGGGGTTATTTATTTGTCATAAAATTACTCTTCTATCGTGAGCTTTTGCAGCAGGGAAAACACAAGCAAACTTATTCCAGATTCCTTTTCCAGGGAAGTTTTACAGCCCTAAAGACAATGAAAAGACCACTTGTACCAGTGTAGATAAACACTATCAGAAGCTTTCTATCTCCTGGTCATCTTCTTGAAATCCCAATTTTCCAAACAAGTTGATTTTGTATTCTATTTTTTAATTTGCTTTTTAAATATCTATGTACATTATTTTATCTTAAATGTACACAGTTGTGAAGTAGAACATGATATAGATGTATTAACAAATCTCAAATTATTTAACTGGAGAAATGGCTCAGTGATTAAGAGAGCTTGTTGCTCTTGCAGAGATCTTGAGTTCCATTTCCAGCATCCTTTCTCTGACTGCTCACAGCTGCCTGTAACTCTTGTTCCAGGGGATCCACATCTGTCTTCTGGCCTCCAAAGGTACTATATACACATGGCATATTTACATTCGTGTAGGTGAAATACTCATATACAGGAATCTTTTAATTTAAAAAAAACTTAAATTCTAATGCCCCTTTGAGCCACTTACAATGGGGCAATACGTATATACACTTATAAATAAACTTTATTTTTCTATTAATCTACCTTTCTTTAGTCTTACAAGTTCCAGGTGCTGAACCTAAAGCAGAAGAAGAAATGGTTCCTCTCTATATTAGCCTTTACTAACATCATTTGCTTAGCCTGGCTCTCAGAGTATTCCTTGTTCTGCCAGCAGAAACCATTAAAACTCAACTCTAACCAAGAAAAAAAAAAGTCTACTGAAGTATCTATAGGATCCTCTGTTTCTTGAATGTGCAGGAAATGCTTATTCATTCAGACATGTTTCATTGGCCAAGTACCAGTAGCCACTGAGTCTCTGTTTCATCATTTGTAAAGAAGGAATAATAGTTATGTGGCCATAAACAGCTGCCTCACAGGAACCAGCCAGATGTGTTAACACCTTCACAGCCACAAGCCCTGTTTCCATATAAAATTGGTACTCAGTTGTAGTTTATTGGCAACCATCAAGCAGAAAGGAGAGCCAAAGTAGGCAGAGGGAAGATGACCAGACCTGTAAAGCAACACAGTGAAAGTTTGCTGACACACATTCACCTCTGCTGAATTTAAAACTTTTAATTATTAGTTTAAGTGACTTAAACATGTACATATTTATCTAGCTTAATTTCTAGTAATCAGACATAGGAAAATAATACCTGCTGTAAGATATGAGTTCTAGTTCTAATAGTGGCTGTTTCAGTGGATAGTGGCCCAAGGGTTTACTTTTTTTTTTGTTTTGTTTTTTAGGGTTTACATTTTTTGTTTTCAGAAGTTAACTTCCTCTAGTATCTAAATAGTTGTGTAGTGTAAAGTGTTCATGAAAACAGAAGCTAAGATAAGATCTCTCGTGCAAGTAATTTGTAGAGGGAAAGTTCTCAGAGAAAGGACAAAATGAAACAGGAGAATTATAGATATGAGATCAAGAAGGAATTGGCTTCGGTCTGCCACATGTGACACTGTGGAGGATGCATTGTACTAAGAGAGATCTTACTCAGGAAAGCGGCTGGGCTGCTACATCCAGCAAAAGACACTAGCTAGCTCCTGGTCAAGAGAGAAACCTCACAATAATCATCAGCTGGCTGGGTGATAAGGGTCTCCTATCATGCAATGTGTGAGAGTCAGTTTTAATCATCACCTTTATTGGCTAAGAAGGGCCTAATGAATCAACTAGAGCACACCTTCTGTACATATGTGAGACCCTTTCCTGAGTCAACTAGGCTATTAGAGCTCTGAATGATTTAGTTAATTGGCAGATTCAAATTTTGAATAAATTCTTGGGAGACAATTGGAAGGTGGTTATTGAGAACATGTCCCTGAATATCATATCTAGCCATGAGACCTTACCATTTTCAGTTCCCTCTGATTCCAGTCCAATGACAAAGATGCCACTGTGCCACATGCCCTCATACCCTGTAACCACAGTGTTGAGCTTCACACCTAGCCCTGGATCTTGGTGCCACAGGAGACTCAAGATC